ACTCAGGAGTTCTTTGGTTCTCAAAATCAGACCACATGCTTTTGATAACGGGCCAGTGTATTATGTACTCACTGGCAATATCATTTAAGCTTTACAACTATGAATAACATTCCTTCCAACGCTGGCCCCAGTGCATGCTCTTGTCTTTCAAATTTCTTTGCTCATTTAAAAAGTTTTAAGTTATTTATTTTAATGTTCTTGGTCTTGAAAAGCTCTTTTCATTTGTGTTGGATCACAGAAACTGAATGCTAGAATTACTGTTTTTAGAAAGTGCTGCCATTTGTGTTAGTGATAAAATGTATCATGTTGTTATGGCAACTGAAATCCTAATGTACTGATTAATGACACTGACGTGTGATGGAAAGACTCATTTGATGCTGTTCGATCCTCTGGAATATTTTAATGAACTTTTTCTTTTAATTTAGTATTATTTGGTGTAATACAATTAATTTTATACAAATTCTGTGTGCAATACATTCTTAAAAGATTGTCATGTTACAGTAGCATAGTGATCCCAGACTGTGTTCAGAGACGGTTGTTTTACCTGAACACCTTGAATATATTTCCTTTAAACTAGTGTTTCTAAATTTGCTATTATAAGCCCAGTCTGGTTTTCAGGTATCCTAATAATCTAATAAAACTGTCAGTTGATCCTATTTATTGAAAAACTAGATACTTTGCATCGGAATAAAATGCAGGTTTTGTCTCTTAATCATCTTTCTTATAGCTTCTGTTCTTAATATTTCCTGAAAAGTTGAAGTTCTGCACACTTGGTCTCTGAGATTTCTTTAACTTGTCAGTTCCCAACAGGTGGTAAATTCAGCCCTGATTTTAGTGAGTGCAGTTTTGGTGTCTGTATTCCTTTGCGCATTACAGCAGGGCTGAATCTGGGTTCATGGTTACCTTGGTTTCCTCAGCTTTTCCTGGTGTTCCATTTGCATGTGCTTGGCTAGAAAATAGTTGTAACTACTATTCATGGTAGATAAAAATGCATGTGCAACTGTAAACACATCACCATGGTGATCAAAGTAAACTGATTTTATGGCCAGTGTAAAATAAAAATATTTTTTTGTCTTAAAAAACATATTAAACTTTCCAGTTAAATTTAGCATCAAATCCCTGTGCATTTACATCCAAAAAAATAACAGGATACAGACTTCATAGCATTATTGGTAAAAGGCTGTAGCAAGTTTTAAATCTCTGACCACTATCACTTTCAGCTCTTCCTCTTTGGAATCAGGTACTGTCAAGATAAAGCAAATAGAATGTATTTGCTGGTAGATGAAAAAAAAGTATGTATTTACAAAGGACAGTGAGAAGCCACATGAGGTAGAAGGTAGATCACTAAGATTATCAGTCTTTTAAAAGGTGCAGGGGAGTGCAGATGAAAAACTCATGTCTGCAAATTAGTCATGCTAATCGTTTTTTCATGATTGCAGAAATAAAGCAGCTAAGTTCTTGGTTATCAGGATAATATCAGCCGGTTTCTTGATGTACAATACAAAGAGATGAAGAAGCCACCTTTTGTTTTAAAACTTTAAGCTATTTTCACAGTTGAAGTAAAAGGACTTTTTAATGTAACTGACACTGATTTTTAGTGTGTATTTTTATTGTATATCTTTAATTCCTTGTATGTAGTACAGTTACATTCCCTGTGACTTGCAAATTATGTTTTTGTCTTGTCTTTTTTAGAGAGCAGATAATAAAACAGTCAACAGAACTGGTCTGCAGAGCTTACAGTGAGTTATATGCAGCTGTGATGGATCCTTCAAATGAATATAAGGATCCAGAAACCATACTACACAGGTCTCCTCATCAAGTTCAGGCACTCCTTTCATAGTCTTATGTCTCCTAGATTTACCAGATTCTGTAATTCTGTATTTTAGTATTTGCATTGAGTTATTTTTCTGTTTTGAATTTTGATGTGTAACTGCGTAGTTAAAATATGTAGCAATGCAGTTTTGTTTAATCTGCTTGGCAGAAGTCTGTTCTGTCCTGTGTCTTTGAATGCCTTCTATAGGCCAGAAAATAGAATATAGATTAAAAATTATTTTAATGTATTCCTCTAATGGAAATGGACCTTGACAATATGCAATCTCTTTGAAAAAAAGGAGTAAAGGAGAAAGAAGCTTTTTCCTTGCTGTACATAATCCTTTCAACTAGAGATTGAACCCATGTCTTTTACGTCACCAGTATTTTTATTTGCTCTTTTCCCTGTTCTTTTTTTCAGCCTATCATCAATAAATGCTGATAACTGTAATTTTAGTACAACTTAGGTACTTTTAATCAATCCATCACTTTTACAGCTCATAAATAATTTAAGAATATTTGATGCTGTTTTTCAAATCCTGTTGATTAAATCTTTGGGGCAAAATGTGTATACTTATTTGGAATCCATTATCATTGTCGCTAGTTCTTGTATTTTCTGTAAGAAAAAGAAATATTTGAACTACATGCATGTACATAACCTGGAACGTAATGCTTTAAATTATTTGTATAATTTTGTTTTACTGGAAGGATTTTGTTTTAGTGCAGTCATTCTGTAGGAGTCCTTTTATCAGTTGAAATTTGCAGATCTCTTAAGGCTGGGAACAACAACAACGTAGGTTAGGAAAATGGTTTGCACAGCAGTATGGCCATTCCTCCTTCACATGTGCATGTTTTTTGTTTTGCTTTTTTTTTAAGTACAGGAAACGTCCATCTGTTCTAGTACAAGCATTTATTCAGTTAATAATCCAGCAAGAGATTTTCATGGTTTATGTCTGCAGTGGTGCTCCTAAAAATGATAGCTAAGTTCACCTGTGGCAGCCACAAGTTGTCCTGGGAATTAAGTGGGAGAGCCAGGGTGTGTAAGTGTTCTAGGCTGATGTGTTGAAAGCCACGAGTGAGGGTTTCATTCCTTTTCTCCTTTGGTGCAAAGCCAAACCTGCTCTGTGTAGAAACCCTAATTATATAGGGAATTATGATTTAGGGGACCTTTGCTTCCAGTAAAAGAGGAAAATAGGTAAGTAGGTCACTTGTTCTCTGTTGGGCCTTATGATAATTTTATGCAAATTCCTTAAACATACTCTTCTTCTAGGAAAACCTTGTTACAGAGAAACCTTCAGGAAACAAAATGTTAGTAAAAGGAATTTAGGGTGTTTTGGGGTTGTTATTTATTTGTTTGTTTGTTTGTTTGTTTGTTGGGTTTGTGTTTTTTAAAGGATAATTTAAGCTAACTATTCCATTTCTCCTTGGTTTTGTGTGGGTGTCACATAGTTATTACAGTTGCCAGAGTTCACACTCATATTAGATGTCGCTTATTTTGATATACATCAAGGGGGAGATGAGCAGTCATTCATATTGAATAACTTTCATATTTTATTTTTGTCAGTAATAATATTCCCCATATAAATATTATACTTAGTGGCAGCTAATTCTGCAGTTTAGTGTATGCTTGCAAAAGAGCAAGAAATAGAGAAGAGCAGCAGCAATACGTTTTAGTCTCTTGGAAAACTCATTGCACAAGATGTATCCAGTGCGGTCAGAAATCAGCTTCCTTGGTAATGCCACAATAAAGCAATAACTCTTTCCAAATGGGCATAATTTGTTGACATAATAGAAAAAGATTTGAAAGCGTAAGTGTCCCTGGAGTTCTTGGATCAGACATAAATTCTTCTATAAACGTGAGTGTTAGATTTATTCAGTTTAAAAACTCCAGACCTGTAAGACAAAATTCTAGAAGCTTAGAAAAGCTTTAATGGAAAATGATACTCTTTTACTAGGTAAGGCACTTTAAATTACTCAGATTTTGCATTACCATAGTAGTATATATTCAGACGGCTGTTCATTGTTGTTTAATAATGTTAATATTGCTTAATATGCCTATAATTAATATCTAATATGTGAAAATTACATTAGTTGTGAAAGGATTATAAATTAGCTTGTTATTAGATTAACATACTCATAAGAGTGAACTTTTTTCCTGAAATTACACTCAACCTCAGTCTCCAATAATCAGTCAGTAGTTTGCATGAGGATTAGTAAGAAGTTGCTTCCTATGTTTGAGTCCATGTAGAGACTTAGCCATGATTTTACCTTATCTTAATGAAAATGCAAAAGCTATAAAAGTTGTAACTTATAAAAATTAAAGTCAATCACTAATCTTGGTCTGTGCAATTAAAGTAAATGACAAAGGGTCACAAATGAGAAAGAACGTAAATAAAAGCATCTGATGTACTGACTTCTGTCTTCCACGTTGTTATTTCTTCTTGCTTACCTTCCTAAGAGGAGGAAGGAAAGGGTGATGAGATTTTGGCCGACCTTTTCTAGCTTGGTATTTCTGACCCTTTTATTTTACAAATTCCCAGGATTTCCACAGCAGGGACTCTGAAGCTGCTGTCCTATGTTTGCTCAGTTAGATGGATGACCTGTAAGCATTGCAGTAAATGGGATGATTCTGGGTGTTGGTACTGGCTCTGTGTTCAGACCACTTGCTGCAGGTCTGACTTGAGCATCACAGTGCATGAAGCAGTGCTCACCTGGGTGGGCTGAGTTATTCAGCACTTCTGCTGTTGGTCCTTGAACACTTCATATGGAGGGGCATGCCTTCAAAGAGCGAGTCTTAGTCTGTGCTGCACAGGAATATGCTTCAGAAAACTGTAGAGAGAATACTGCCTACAGTAGGCAGTGCTCTCAACATCTGACACTGACAACCCAGTTCTGAGAACAGATGTGTAAAAGGCCTCTTTTTGCATCGTTGTCTAATGCAAAGAGCACTTTCATGGGAAGTAGGAGAGCTGGGTTCTGGGCCAAAGGAGTTTGGAATTGACATCTCCCACCTTCCTGGAAAGAACCCAAACCCTTGGCTGTTGTGCAGCATGAGATGGGGCAGCTCTGTTTCTTCTCTTTTGAATTCAGCAGCTATGCATAAAATCAATGCAAAATATGGGAAGCGTGAGATAAAATAAGCAAGGAGGAGTTTGGATCTATGGCATGTCCGTGAAGGCTTTCCTTAGGACTCCAACGTCTAGATCTTCCTCCAGTTCTTATCTTTGACCTGAAACAGAAGTACATGAGTCTCTGAAACAGAATCAGGATCCTAGGACTTCATCACCAACAGAGTATCCAGCAAGCAGCAAGCTGGAGAGTTGAGTTTGGGTCGGACCCAAGGTGGTTCATCCGCACTGGTGACAATGACTCTGTGTTCAATCTTATGTGTACAATTTTTCCTCCCCTCTTTATAAATACTCACACCACTATGGAAATAAAATACAAAATTTGTTTTAATTATAGTAAGCACATAACAGCCCAGCTACAGTGATTTTTTTGTTTTCTAGTATGGGAAAAGAGAAGCTTATGGAGATTTGGAAAGATGATAATACATTTGTTTTCCAGCATTTTGGAGTACTCCTCCCTGTTCTGTGAGATTTATGACTCTAGCTCTGCATTTTGTCTGTTAATAGACTCAGCAGTAATTATTTTTATTAAAGTTTTTGAAATACGTGTTGGAGGAAAATACTTTGAGAACCGCTAAACTTTTCCATCCATTTAAAAAACTCTATCTGTTCTTTGATCCCTTCGCTTGCCTTGCTGAGTCACTTTGCAGGCAACCCAGGGGGTGGGAAGCTTATAAAATTTTGAAAATTAAACAAAGGGGTTAGACATGTTTCCATGAGTAAAACACGCCTTCCAGAAGCAACACAGACATGGGTGTGGGTTTGTTTGAAATCTGCTGCCACCTGCTTTTGAGGGAAAATGCAGAAAAAGATCTATTTGCTTATGATGAGGGCACCAACCCAAAACAGCCGTGGTAAGGTTAGATGTTATAAATTGATGTTATGTTTGAGTAGTTTGGAAAATTTTCAAAATGCAAATTAGAAGAAACTGTCAGTAAAAGTAAAAGTTGTGTCAAATAACTGACCTCCCTCACATATTAGATTTGCTTGCTGAAGGTTTCCAGAACCTCTACATCTTCTCCCCACAGCTTTTAAACACTTTGCAGACTAAACTTTAAGGTAATCATGCAACAATTCTAAGCCTTGGGTAACTTGGAGTAAAATGAGATGCTTTGAGTCACCCAGTGACATACAAAGCAGTAGTTAAACTTGGAGCCAATTTGTTTCTTGAAAGAATTTCAAAACGTGGGAAGTTAATGTATCTTGAACTTGGATATTTGTCCTGAAGAGGCAATGCCCTTTACATGACAAGGCAGGACTCTCCACCCGTCCACTGCATGGTAGGAAGCTAACTTGAGTTTTTTCAGAGTCAAACTACTTCAGAAGTGCTTTAAAGATGAGCGTGCGCTCCTGTACTCTACTAAACCAGATGTTTGTTCCCCAGCTGGGTTCCTGGGCTGGTGCTCCAGTGAGGATGTTCACACTAGCCCAGTAGATGTGGTTACCAAATGCTCAAAAGGTGGGTGAACCTCTTGTCACACAAAGGTCTTCTTCCAATATCCCAACTATCTACATCCTTGAGTAAAGAACCACTTTACATAGAGCTGGTGTGGGGCTGAAGTAAAGCCAAGACATTGCTTCTGTCTTGGTCCTTGACCTTGACAGGTTGAACCCCTCAAAGGTGATGCGGGTGAAACATCAGTAATGTGTAGAATCCTCTACTGCAAAGCTATGGGAAGACAAAGTGCAAAAAAGCCCTTTACACCTGAAAATTTACACTTACCTTATGTACATTAATGTATGTATCTTATGTATATTAAGGCCTAGATGAGGGTATGACCCCTGCACACTAAATTGTCACACAATGCATACAATGAAAAGATGAACCAGAAAGGTTTTTCTCTTAAAAAAAAAAAAAAAAAAAAAAGTTTATTTTGACTACCTTGCTTTAGCAGTAAGGAAACCTTGATCGAGCAAGATATGGCTGAAAGGTGTTTGATAGGTTACTGCAGAGTAGCTGACAGAAAAGAAAAAGGCTGTTGCATGTTTCATATTCAGACAAAGAAGCTTTTATTTGCTGCCTAGTTCACAGATGTGGTATTGTCAAATTGCAGGAAAATGCCTGTCAGACTGTATCATGGACTATATTTAGGGAGAAAAAAAATTCAGAGCACACTATTTATAGAAGCCACACAAATAAGCACGGAGTTCTTATCAGCCAAAGATAACATTAGTCGTGATTTATCAAAGTAATCTTTATTTTATGGAAAATGGATAATAGGGTGTAATTTAATCCTTTGTGAATGTAATGTATATTTCAAAGGGTTCTTTTTTGTCAATAAAACCATTTGTTGTGCTTGTTAAAC